CGACTGTTTTTGGAGTGTAACTGCCTTCCTGTGGAATTTCTGCCTTGTTTGACTCAGTATATTGCTATCAACAAGAAAGCGCTGCATTTGCTTCAAACAGGCAGTGAATGACAAGCCACAGATCAGAAGGTCACAGTCTTAGCCTCTCCTTTCAGCCGCCTTTCACAACACAACCCTGGGCCCTTTTAAACAACAGGAAGAATGTCATCTGGTTACTTTTCAAGGCACAGAGATACCATTCATTGCAGCCAACAATGGCTGCAAAAAGGACCAGAGGGTTACGAGGTTATAAAGGGCCCCATTCTAAGTGCCACTCATTCTCCTGTACGCTGGATGAACACAGAAAGAAAATACACATACATTCACTGAGGGCTGGAGAAGTGGTGCAACTGATGATAAGCTGAGGAGGGTCACGGCAAAGTGCCGTGCACTGACCATTCACCTCTGCGGTCCTCTCAGCTCACCCTCTGAACCTCCCCAGCACCCTGATGTTCAAATAAATTCACAGCTTTTGTCATTTGGGAGAAGACAACCCACCCTAAACTCCATCTAGCTGGTTATTATGCCTGATTAAAGAACAAACCAGCTTTACACAGTGACTGTCTTGGAAAGAAAATAAATAGAAATGGGATTCTAAATACCTGAAATACATGAAATTTGGTGTATTTATATTGCAACAGAGAGTGTAAGATAACTGGGCTTACAGGCAAGAGTTATGAAATGCAACCATAAAGCAAGTGGAATTATGGGAAACCAAAGTAGCATTTTAATAAACACATTATACCCTGTGTTCAATGAAAAGGCCACAAGAACATCATCTACCATTATTCAGGCTGTAAGGCCCGTCCAAAAAGGCTCTTAGACTTCAGCCTGAGCTGAAAGTCTTTACCAGTGTAGACTCTAATGAAGCCTCTGAAATATTAAAAATAAAGGCCAATTAGCTGATAGCACTTTACATCTACTCCCTCTCTAATCCTCTGGAAGCTCAGCCTTATCTAATGTCTGTGCCAGCTATAACACTTCGAGTTCACTCTCCCTTTATCCCCTCCACTTGATGTCCCATAGCGTTTTACTGGTGCTTTGTTGTGGCATTCTTCCTGACCCCACAGGGTCAGGCTCTGAGCCTCCCTTGTAGTGTTTAATGATGTCCTGATATGTACAGTTGGCAGAGACATTGGAAAACTGCAGCAATAACCACAGACATGTTAATGGCGTCTATCAGGATTACTTAAGAGTAATATGGGAGTGATCTCGCCTGGCAACCACTTATTGTAGAAGGTTTGGTATTGGGTGGAGACTGTCTGCGGAGGGTCAGTGATTTGACACAGAAAGCCTTATCTTGTGCCATAAACAGACAACAGTATCTGCACTGCGCCTCGACTGTTCCTATGAGATGGAGGTGGATAAATAACCCTGTTGTCTCTGGGGCCTGATCAGACAGATGCTGTCCTAAACCCAGCCCTGTTCCTCCCGCTGCTATAAATGCTGTTTTTGCTGTGAATGTCACCAGGGGGCTTAGATTCTTCCCAGACTGCCCTCAAGCTGAAGACACAACAATTTCAGAAAGCCCTTTGGTCTTGGTATTTGGAACATCAGGCAGTCTGTGGCTTAAGGCTTCAGGTTTACCGACTACACAAACTACCCAGCGAGAGCAGGGCTTTCTGGCCTAATTGGACCTGCCGGCTAATGTGCAAATACATGACAAAAAAAAAACCTCACAAAACTGTAGCAAACAAAAAAAATGTAGTTTCAAATCAAGCCCATCATCTGCAGTTACTCAGCACAATACAGAACAGTGAACCAGAGTGAATACCATGTAACAGCTGACCCACAGCCTGAGCCCGGCAGGTTAGTCCCTTGTTCTCAGAGACATCCAGAAGTTGCCCCAAACACCCGATCTGGGTGTATCATGTGACTCCCAGCCTGACCTGCATTTGACCCTCACAGTGTGTCTCCTGACTTTGCCCATTCACACAGAGGCTAACAAACATCTGCTCCCTGTCTGAAACCAGACTCATAGAGCTGTGAAAGCACTGGGTGGCCTCACGGAGAGTCTCTCCAAGTGGTGGGCAGCTGAGTGGGTGAGTGTGGGCTGACAGCTGCA